CACCCTCACTTGCAGGAAGTGATGTATGGTGATTTGGCTAACCTGGAGAGACAGAGGAAGCTATTTACTCAGCAATACCCAATTGAGGAGGCAATCTTCAAGAAGCCAGGTTCCTCTGGTTGTTCTCCTGGTCATATCCTACTTGAATTAGGCTCTGATGGTCCCGGTGGATGAGGTCCCAGTCTCTAAAGATGCCACACATAAAAAGTTGTTTGAAGATTTCTTTAAGTTGTCCTTTCCTCTGGTAGGCGTGGCTGTGCAGCCTGCTGTGACTACAATAGAGGTTTGCCAAGCATTCAATGCGTATTCTTCGTTCCAGAGAATTGGATCCAGGGGATCCTGCCAAATGGCAGTTCATGGAATATTTTTCTAGAGCATTCAATTTCTCAGTAAATGCCTTGGAAAGTTCCATAAAGTAGCTTTCTTGGTTGCGCACCATGTCTGTCCACATCAGCAGGATCGTCTGTCTCAAATATCTGTCAGCGGAACTCCTCCGCAGGAAGAACATTAAGGGGATTTTCTTTGAGGGCAAATACTTGTTTGGACCATCCTTGGATGCCTGTGTGGCAAAACATGCTCTTAACCCTAAGGAAGGTCAAGGTGACTGGTCAAAAACCTGTGATACCTTCGGAATCCAAGAAGAGTTAATTTCGCAAGCAGCAAGTCTAGGGTGGAGTTTCGCAGCTTTCCTCCTCCACACTTGGGGTATATTTGGAGCAAAAAAGAGGTTTTCTTGCAGCTCTGGAAAGGTTGATGTCCCAGGGGGTCATTGCACCTGTACCAGAGGGGGAGAGGTCTTATGTCTTCTATTCCAACCTTTTTATAGTTTCTATGTCAATCAAAGATGCCTAGCCTGTTGGACCTCAAAAAGTCTCAACAAATTCCTGAACGTACTAAATTCAGGAATAGACCCAGTTGGTGGTATGTTTACCTCATCAGAGGGGATTTCCTGGTATCAGTGGATATCAAGGTTGCCTATATACACATTCTGATTTTCCAGCTTCGCCAAGGGTTTTTCTGATTCACAGTGGGTGACTGCCACGGTCTGTTTTCAGTGTTGCCTTTCAGCCTATAAACAGCTTCCTATAATGTTTATTATGTTGACGTCTCTTGGCTTGGGGTTGTTGGACACCTGAATATTCTCATCGCAGGGTACCTAGATGACCTGCTTCTCAGGGAGCAATTGTCTCAGAAGCTGTCATCAAATGTCCAGTAGATGGTACAGGGCCTGGAAAGGTTCCGTTAATGCTTAACATTCAGAAGTCGACCTTGTTTTTCGACACATCTGGAGTATTTAGGCTTGGTTGTCAACACAGCAATTTTGACTTGTATAAAGGTGCTGGGAAACATGGTAACCATCTTTGGTTCTGTCCCCTATTCCCACTTTCACTCCAGTGTTCTTCAACTCAGTGATGGGCCGAACACCCCTGTGTTCGGTTTGCGGTCGCATGCTTGAACCTAATGAACGTTTTAACCGCTAATTTCGAACTCAACGCAAGTCTATGGGACTCGAACTTGTAAATTCAAAAGTGCCCGTTTTGAAGGCTTATGCAAGTTATTGGCCATAAAAGGGGTATAGGGACTCGGGTATTGCCCTGAGGAACATGAATCAGTGAAAAAAAAAAAATTCAAAAAGGACAGCTTTTAAAGGGGCAGTCATTTATCATTGCTTAAAGTAAAAAAAAAAAAAAAGTAAATGAAAAATTCCTTTAACTATCATGCCTGGGGGTCCCCTTAAACTACCTGCAAAGTTGCACATCTGTACAATGTATAGAACCTGCTGCAGCAAGGCTGACAAAAAAAAAAAACAGCATGGGTTGCCCCCCTAATGCATTACCCTTTAGGTCTGGTAGGAAGTTTAGGAGGGACCCCACAGTAAGAACTTTAAAAAAAAAAGTGCATGGGGCTCAGGCCTGGTAGGACGGGGAACCCCACCCCCCAAAAATGGGGGGGGGGGGGGTGCGTAGGGTTTCCCCTAAAAGCCATACCAGACTCTTTAAGTCTGGTAAGAATTTTAAGGGCAACCCCACCCCCCAAAAATGAGGGGGGTCCCCCCTAAATTCCTACCAGACCCTTGATCCAAGCACAGGCCTGGCAGGGCAGGAAAGGAGGAGACAATTGAGCGTTCCCCCCCCCCCCCCCCCCCCCCCCCCCCCCCCCCGCCATGGCTTAGAATGACACATGCCCTGGGGATGATGTCCCCATGCCGATGGGGACAAGGCCTCTTCCCCACAACCCTGGCCCAGTGGTTGGGGGGGTCTGCAGGCAGGGGGCCTCATTAGCATCGGGGAACCCCTTTAACCACTTCAATAGCGGGCACTTTTACCCCCTTCCTGTCCAGGCCAATTTTCAGGTTTCAGCGCTCACACTTTGAATGACAATTGCGCGGTCATGCAACACTGTACCCAAACTAAAATTTTATCATTTTGTTCACACAACTAGAGCTTTCTTTTGGTGGTATTTAATCATCGCTGGGATTTTTATTTTTCGCTAAAGTAACAAAAAAAGACAGAAAATTTTGGGGGAAAAAGCCCAAGTTTTTCTTTGTTTCTGTTATAAAAGTTTGCAAATAAATAATTGTTCTTCATAAATTTAGGCCAAGATGTATTCTGCTACATTTCCTTGGTGAAAATAACCCAAATCAGTATTTATTATTTAGTCTGTAGGAAAGTTATAGAGTTCACAAATTATGGGATATATCTGAAAATTGATCAATCCTGAAGTACTGACATCTAATTTCTTGAGGCCCAAAAATGTCAGAACAGTACAGATATCCCCCAAATGACCCCTTTTTGCAAAGTAGACAGTCCGACGTATTTCATAAGAGGCATGGCGAGGTTTTTGAAATTGTAATTTTTTTGTCATAATTTTTTGGAAAATTAAGAGATTAAAAAAATTATTTTCACTATCATTTTTTCACATACTGTCACTAATGCAGTACAGCATCATCATATAACTGGTGTGCTGTGATCAGGAACACTGACTGGTGAACGTATGAAAAAAAAAAAAAAAAAAAATTTTTTCTGTTTTTTTTCTTTTTTTTTAAGATTTTTTTTTTCATATTACACTATGACCAAAGTAGTATAATGTTACCATAGTAACATTGTACTACTTTGGGGAAGTGATCAGTATTTGTTTTTTTTTTTATACAATTTGATTGCTTATAGCAAAGAATTTCTTTGCTATAAGCAAGCATTTAACTGAATGAAATCGATTCATTCAGGTTTTTTTTGTTGTGATTAGCTGTGATTGGCCACGGCTAATCACATGACACAGATGGGCTATGATTGGCCCAGCCTGTGACCATTCACAGCTAGACACATTTGTATACAATGGATGGCATGAAAGGAAGCCATCCATTGTATACAACTGCCATGTGACCTGCTGTGATTGGTTACAGCAGGTCACATGTTACTGGCAACAGGGCAGTTATACAGATCTGTCATCAGCCGTGTCAGATCTCGCACAGTGCGGCCCTGAGGGCACGCGCAAGGCGCGATCTGGGAAGAACGTCATATGACGCCCTACCGGAGGGACGAGGTGTTCGCCCGGCTGTCATTTGACTATAGGTTGGGCGGCAAGTGGTTAAATAAGGGGGCACTGTGATGCTGCCAATGACCCCCCTTTGTGCATGAGTAAGGGTTAAGTTTAGGAAAAAATAGATGTAAGACTTTTGAAAGGTTCCTTTAATTGAAAAAAAAAAACCCCCACAGTTTTTAACAAGTCCTTTAATTAAAAAAAAAAAAAATGGTTCCATCATTGTAATCCATTTGCAATCATGGCGTCCAGCGTTATCACGATGACACCGACTCATTGAAATAAAACCCCATGCCCACTGAGCACTCGCCACAATCTGACAAGTCTGGAATTTGCAGGCTACATGTAAGCAATTGGGCGGAGCTAGCAGAGCAGTTGTGCTGTGATTGGCTATAGTCAGGTGCATTGCTTTGGCCGATCATGGCTCTCGCAGTGCATTGTGTGGCGCTCGGCGGGCGAACACACAAATGGCCGATGTTCGAGTCGAACTTACATTCGACTTGAACATGAAGCCTATCCCTACCTGTCATTATAGGATTAGGAATCCTTGGACCTGCCCCTACTCACAAGACCAGGTCAGCTGTGGAATGGTGAATATGTGCAGAGATGTTGGATACAGGAAAATCCTTCATTCTGATTAGTGTCTTAGTGATCGATGTCAGCCTGTTGAACTGGGGAGGTGTTTCAGAGAACCTCTTAGTTTGGGCAATGTGGTTGTCAAGGAGTGCAATTTGCCAGTCAACATCCTGGAACTTTAGGCGATTCAGTTGACTTTCCTACACTGGTCTGCCTACCTTCGGGTCTCCCTGTCATGGTGCACTCAGACAGTGACATGGCTGTGGCATGCATCAACCATCAAGGAAGGACAAGAAGTCACGCTGCTCAGGAAGAAACAGACTTGCTCCTTTCTTGGGAAAAATACATTCCAGTCCTCTGTGCCTCAGAAAAATGGCAGCTGGACTTTCTCAAATGTAAGCAGTTGAAGCCAGGAGAATGGGCCCTTCACCCGGAGGTGTTTGCAGAGATTTGTCGGCTGTAGGGGACGCCAAATGTGGATCTCTTGGCATCCAGATTCAATGACAAGAATAGACAGCTTTGTGTTCAGGGGTTCCTCAGCTTCTTTCTTTCTTCCCCTCTGTGTTTTTCTTTGCTTTCTACAAAACTGGGTTAACATAATTAAAATAGTCAAAAAGTGCCCTGTTCCCATGTCGTGTGATATGCTCCCAGTAAAGGATTTTATTTTCACAGTAGATCTACAAACTAAGAGATATATTCTGTTACATGCTAACATGATGACCAGTCGCTTCATGTGTACTGCATCTGTCACCATAATTGTGCTAGTTTTTAACATGAATTGAAAGTTTACTGATCTTTTTTTAAGTACAATTAAATATTGCTGATCTTTTTTAAGTTAGACTTTTGATTGACTTTGGATTTTTAAAATTCATTTTTATATATTTTAGCTACTGTGACTGCTTTGCTAATGGAGAGTTTTGCAACAACTGCAACTGTACAAATTGCTACAATAACCTAGAACATGAAAACGAAAGACAAAAAGCAATCAAGGTGAGAACAATGGAATTTGTTAGTTATTTTAGACATATGGATCCTTTGTGACGTTTTTTTTGCAACTACCTGATTTCCTCCCTATTTATATGGATTTAAAACAAAATAATCATGATTTGACTTTAAGGCAGCAGCATTGCTGATGAATATTTTGCTTGTAATGTTTTTGATTTATTGCACCCCATATGGTTTTGTAAATAGATATTTATTCCTCATGCCTTTACAGCCTCTTTCCATTTTCCAATCTTCTTCCAGGCTTGTCTAGATAGAAATCCTGAAGCTTTCAAACCAAAAATTGGTAAAGGAAAGGAAGGAGAGTCTGATAGAAGACACAGCAAAGGATGCAACTGTAAACGTTCTGGATGTTTAAAAAACTACTGTGAATGCTATGAGGTAAGATTGATTCCCCAAGTTATAGGGAGTAATCTAAGCATACAGTACTGACTTGAAGATCCAAAATATGCAAACTGTATTATTGCAATGTGTGGGTTACCTTCTACTGGGACGTGATCAGTAAATTAATAGTCCTGAGTAAACTACCTGTTAGGATTAAAATTAAATGTAGTGGGATATCATGAGCCAAAAAACAAAAATATCGCCTATTCTTCATATTAAATCCATGGGGATACCATCCTTATATGTAGGGTCTTACTCCCTCTACCCCCACGAAATAGCGAGGCAAAAACCGCCAAAACTGTCAATGACGTAATGCCCCAACAGGTTCAAAAGGATAGGGGCTTAATGCAGTAAATTAAATATAATCCCCCTTATATTATCCATGCTTTGCAGTCAATTAATTCAAACCAAAAGTGGTGTTTTTTGCCTTGCTGGTTTAAGATGGAGTAAGATCCTACTAATTCAGAAGAATGAGACACGAACAAGCCCACAATTTAAGCGCTAATTCTGGAGAAGCGAAGTAATGTCACAAAATGCATTGATATAGAGCAATGTTGAAAAGGCTTTGGTATTAAGAACCATTGTAATGTAAATCAGGGCTCAAAACTTCAAGTCCTGAGCTACTAGGCAGGACTTAAGAGTTACTCGCCACCAGTTTCCCTACCCAACCCCTAACCTTTCCCGCCCCTAAACACGCCTTCATAAATGATCTCATGAAATGACACTGTTAAATGTTTTATGCAGAATAAAGGAAGGGAAGGAAGAAAGGAAATGGAAGGAAGGGAGGGGTGAAAGGAAGAATGGGAGGGAGGGGTGGAAAGAAGGGAGGGAGGAGTGGAAGGAAGGAAAGATGGGAAGAGTGGAAGGAAGGGAAGATGGGAGGAGTGAAAGGAAGGGAAGGGTGGCTGGAAGGAAGGAACGAGGTAAGGGAAGGGTGGAAGGAAGGATCGGAGGGAAGGGCAGGGTGGGTGGGGGGAGGGGTGGATGAAAGGAAGGGAGGGGTGGGTGACAGGAAGGAAAGTGTTGGTGGAAGGGAGGTCGGACTGACATGTCCCGTTTCCCGCCCACACTCCCTGCAGCTTCAGAGGATGTGTGGGTGGGAAACTGAACACAGAGCAGCCAACAGCTGTGATGCTTCTGAATAAGCATGTCTGTCCCACAGGGGGGGAGGCAGAGCAGATCCAACCTCTCTCTCCTTCAATGAGGCAGCTGAAAGCCGCAGGAGAGAGAGAAGGAGAAAGGGCTTCCAGCTGCTTCATTGAAAGTCATACAGGAGATCACTGCTTGTCACCGCCGCCCCTCCCACACACCCCTGGTCCCGGTGCTGCTCACCCCCACCTTACCCACCTTATTTCCACTCGCCCAATGCGAGCGTGCGAGAAAATTTTCGAGGGCTGATGTATATTACATATTAAGTGATGTCCATGTCATTTAATTGCTTTAATTGTCTATATTTTTAACATATGTATATATAATTTCTTTTTTTTTGTTGTTGTATATGTAGTTGTTGTTCACTATATGGATTGGTGATATCCCTGGGGAGACACAATAAAGTCCCCGGTTTGCTTCATACTCCTCTTTTCAGGAATAGGTCTTTATTCAAGTTTAAACTGCCATTACCTTTAGGTAAAATGCAGGTTTTGCTTTTACTTTTGTTTTGCGTTTTGCAGTAATATACTAATAAATTGTTATTACAGGAACCCTAGAAGCCATTTGCTGTCTGGGGCATTTTTTTTACATTTTCACATTTGTGTTAAAAACAGAATTTTTTGCTAGACAATTACCTAGATCCCCCTAATATATGTTTCCTGAAAGCAGAGGCCCTAGAAGTGAAATGGTGACTGTTGCAAATTCATGCACCTGAGAAATAAAGTCAAACTACGGTACATAGGATTTTTCAAAGGCAACACTTTAGAAGCCTTTACAGATTATCAGTATAGAGTTGATTTTGATTGAGAGCCATTAGAACATTTGCTCTGATGTTCACGGTGCTACCTCATGCATGGTTCTTTCAGTGTTTACATACGTGTGCGGGACTTGCGCACCCGTTTGCATTTGCAGAGGTGCTTTTAATTTTTTTTTTTTTTCAACTATTTTTATTTATGTACACTTTTTTTTTCATTTATATCTTTCATTTAACTTTTAAGTAACTAGGCCCTGAGAGTTTTTACGGCGCCATTGTTAAAAAAAACATGTATGGGTGTTATTTGCAAGAATAAACATAATGCCATAATCTAAACCTTTTCTGAGAAAAACATAATGGCTTTCGTTGCTGACCTCCTGGAAATGCTAGGTGCAATTATGTGGAACCCCTATCTTCAATGTTTTTACTTAACCGGAAAGAGTATGCAGATAAAGAAAGCCAGCGTAAAGCCAAAAGTATCATCATAATTGTTCAGGGAGTATTTAAGCCTGAGGGTCAGCATGACAACGAGGCAACGTTTATTTTTTTACTTTTTACTTCTGCATTGGCAGCCTCCATGTTTCTCTTGGGAAAGGTTTACATTAATTGTTGTTGCAGTCATACTCTACATTAGCCCCAGATGTTTTACTAAAATGTGTTACTATTCAGAATTGTAGAGATAAAAAAGGATTACAATGTCCTTCTGTTTTTGGAAAGTCCTTTCACAATGCATTTATTTAAATTTTAATAGTTTGGTTTTAATGCTTCCATAACTCTATGACTGGTTTTATTGCTGTTTGCTTCCTTTCTCTCCACTCATGATGTCTGTTTATTTTTCCCACAGGCTAAAATCATGTGCTCCTCAATATGTAAGTGTATAGGTTGCAAAAATTTTGAAGAGAGCCCAGAACGTAAGACACTAATGCATCTGGCAGATGCAGCAGAAGTGAGAGTGCAGCAGCAAACTGCAGCCAAAACTAAGCTCTCCTCACAGATCTCTGATTTGCTCACAAGGCCAGCACCATCGTTAACAAGTGGTGGGGGAAAGTAAGTGGTTTATTTTACCATTTATGTCTTATGAATTTAAACATTATATGTCACATAAAAATTTAAATCACAACGGTTTATAATTTCATAGCTCATGCAGTGGCATGTCTATCACATAGGTTTTTGTGAACTGTTCTAAGGGTTTTGATAACACATGCAATAGATAGATTGGAATACAATAAGTAAATACAGATACAGTGCCTACCCCTTGAAATTTTCCACATTTTGTCATGTTACAGCCAAAAACATAAATGTATTTTATTGGGATTTTATGTGATAGACCAACACAAAGTGGCACATAATTGTGAAGTGGAAGAAAAATGATAAATGTTTTTCAATTTTTTTTTACAAATAAATATCTGAAAAGTGTGGTGTGCATTTGTATTCAACCTCCTTTACTCTGATACCCCCTAACTAAAATCTAGTGGAACCAATTACACACAGAGTCCATCTGTGTGTAATTTAATCTTAGTATAAATACAGCTGTTCTGTGAAGCCGTCAGAAGTTTGTTAGAGAACATTAGTGAACAAACAGCTTAATGAAGGCCAGGGAACACACCAAGCAGGTCAGGGATAAAGGTGTAGAGAAATTTAAGCAGTGAAAGGTTATAAAAAAAATATCCCAAGTTTTGAACATCTCACGGAGCACTGTTCAATCCATCATCCGAAAATGGAAAGAGTGTGGCACAACTGCAAACCTACCAAGACATGGCTGTCCACCTGACAGGCTGGGGCATAGAGAGCATTTATCAGAGAAGCAGCCAAGAGGCCCATGGTAACTGGAGGAGCTGCAGAGATCCACAGCTCATGTGAGAGAATCTGTCCACAGGACAACTGTTAGTTGTGCACGCCACAAATCTGGTCATTATGGAAGAGTGGCAAGAAGAAAGCCATTGTTAAAGAAAGCCATAAGAAGTGTTGTTTGAAGATTGGGGGAAGCCATGTGGGGGACACAGCAAACATGTGGAAGAAGGTGCTCTGGTCAGATGAGACCAAAATTTTACATTTTGGCCTAAAAGCAAAACACTATGTGTGGCAGAAGAATAACACTGCACATCACCCTGAACACACCATCCCCACCGTGAAAGATGGTGGTGGCAGCATCATGTTGTGGGGATGCTTTTCTTCAGCAGGGACAGGGCAGCCAGTCAGAGTTGATGGGAAGATGGATGGAGCCAAATACAGGGCAATCTTAGAAGAAAACCTGTTAGAGTCTGCAAAAGATTTGAGACTGGGGTGGAGGTTCACCTTCCAGCAGGACAACGACCTAAACATACAGCTAGAACTACAATGGAATGGTTTAGATCAAAGCATATTCATGTGTTAGAATGGCCCAGTCAAAGTCCAGACCTAGATCCAATTGAGAATCTGTGGCAAAACTTGAAAATTGCTGTTCACAGACGCCTGCCATCCAGGGTGACAGAGCTTGAGCTATTTTGCAAAAGAAGAATTGGCAAAAATTTCACTCTGTAGATGTGCAAAGCTGGCAGAGACATCCCCAAAAGACTTGCAGCTGTAATTGCAGCAAAAAATGGTTCTACAAAAGTATTGACTCGGGGGACTGAATACAAATGCACGCCACACTTTTCAGATATTTATTTGTAAAAAGAAAAAAATCTGTGAACCATTTATCATTTTTCTTCCACTTCACAATTGTGTGCTATTTTGTGTTGGTCTATCACAGAAAATCCCAATAAACTACATTTACGTTTTTGGTTGTATTATTGACAAAATGTGGAAAATACAAGGATTTGAATACTTTATCAAGACACTGTGCAAGGCGAACACTGGTTTTGGGGTTAGTCATTTAATCTGGCTTCACAACCCTGCATTACACGAACAGCATGCACAGTAACTCACGTTATTCTCTGCCTTGCCATTCTGAATTGCATCGCAACTCACAAATACAGAAGGGCTCACACACCTGCCTAGGATTGTGGCTGCAGTACATGACACACTCTTGTGACACTCCATGAATGGTAGAATTTGTTTGGAACTCATTGCAAGGGATAATATTATTTGATGATATTTGCAACTCATGAAATGGGACTATTTATATGTATAGAAATATTTATCGCATGTATGAATTTGCACCATATTATGTTATTTATGAGTCAAGATGTCTAATGATTATTATTATTATACAGTATTTATATAGCGCCAAAAGGTTTGCTCAGCACTGTACATTATAGGGGGGACAGTACATGAGACAATACAGTAACAAAACAGTACACAAGGGGTTCGAGGGCCCTGCTCTTTTGAGCTTACAATCTAGGAGGGAGGGGATAGTGGTACAGGAGGAAGTGGCTGTGGGGGATGGAGTAGTAGGAGGAGTGGAGGAGATCAGCTGTTAGGTGAGAGTAGGGTAGGCTTCCCTGAAGAGATGGGGTTTCAGGGTGCGCCTAAAGGTGAGGAGGGTAGGTGACAGTCTGATGGATTGGGGTAGTGAGTTCCAGAGGATGGGGGAAGTCCTGGAGAAGTCCTGAAGTCGGGTGTGGGAGGAGCAGACCAGGGAGCTAGAAAGTAGGAGGTCTAGTAAGGAGCGAAGAGTACGGGTTGGGTGGTATTTGGATATCAGGTCGGTGAGGTAGTTTGGGGCAGCGTTATGAATGGCTTTGTATGTCAATGTTAGTAGTTTGAATTTAATGCATTGGGCAATCGGAAGCCAGTGGAGGGAATGACAGAGGGTGGTGGCAGAAGCAGAGCGGTTGGTAAGGTGGATGAGTCTGGCCGCTGAGTTCAGGATAGACTGAAGCGGGGATAGCCTGTGTTGGGGTAGGCCGGTGAGAAGGGAGTTGCAGTAGTCCACACTTGAGATAATAAGGGAGTGAACGAGTTGTTTTAGTAGTGTCTGGGGTTAGGAACGTATGTATTTTGGAGATGTTGCGGAGGTGGAGCCTGCATGAGTTTGCCAGCGATTGGACATGGGGTTGGAAGGACAGGTTTGAGTCTTGAGTGACACCTAGGACTTTGGCTTGCGGGGGGTGACTCTGATGGTGGCGTTGTTGGTCGTGATGGAGAGGATGGGGGGGGCAGACAGGGGGGAAAATTAGGAGCTCGGTTTTGGAAAGGTTCAATTTGAGGAAATGGAGCAACATCCAGTCTGATATGTCGTTCAGTAGGTGAGTGATACGGGCGGAGACTGAAGGGGTGAGGTGAGAGGTGGAGAGGTAAATTTGCGTGTCATCGGCGTAGAGGTGATAGTTGAAGCGTGGGAGTGTATCAGTTTGCCGAGGGAGGAGGTGTAGATGGAGAAGAGAAGGGGCCCGAGGACAGAGCCTTGGGGGACCCGGGAGAGAGGGTGAGGTGGTAGCATTATAGGTAACACTGATGGAGCGTTGGGATAGATAGGAGGAGAGCCAGGAGAGAGCGGAGTCTCTGATGCCAAGGGAGTGTAGTTTATTAAGGAGGAAGGGGTGGTCAACTGTGTCGAAGGCCGCAGAGAGGTCGAGGAGTAGGAGGACTGAGTAGTGGCCATTAGCTTTGGCGGTTAGCAGGTCATTAATGATTTTGAGTAGGGCGATTTCAGTGAAGTGTAGGGGACGGAAGCCAGACTGTAGTGGATCGAGGAGGTTGTTGTCAGTGAGGTGGGAGTTTAGGCGATTGTAGACTTAAGCGCTCAAGGATCTTGGATGTAAATGGCAGCAGGGAGATAGGTCTAAGATTGTTCAGGTCGGTGGGGTCCAGGGAGGGTTTTTTGAGTATGGGGGTGATGTGCGCGTGCTTTAGGGGGGAGGGGAATGCGCCAGTAGAGAGGGAGAGATTGAAGATGTGGGTGAGGGAGCGTAGGATGGAGGAGGAGGGTGACCGGAGGAGTTGTGTGGGGACAGGGTCAAGGGGGCAAGTGGTGAGGCGGGCTTCTGAGAACACCTTAATGACCTCCTCAGTGGTAGCGAGGCTGAGGGAACGGAGTGTTGGGGAGGTTATAGTGTGAGGGATGCTAAGCGTGGTTGGGGCAGGGCGGTTGCGAGGTCAGAGGAGGGGAGAGTTGAGGGGGTTATCGTGGGAGGGAGGCTAGGTGGGGAGGTAGATTGAGCATTGGCGATGTCTTTACGGATTGCGTCGATCTTGTTTTGGAAATGATTGGCAATCTCGTGGGCGGTGAGTGAGGTACTGGGTGGAGGTGGGGGGGGGGGAGAGAGTAGGGAGTGGAAAGTGGAGAAGAGCCAGCGAGGACAGGTGGAGAGGGTTGATGAGGGTTACGAAGTAGGCTTGTTTGGCGGTGTGGAGGGAGGAGGTGTAGGTGAGGAAGGTGGATTTGTAGAGGGAGAACGCTCGAGAGGATCTGGTTTTGCGGCATAATCGCTCCAGCGTGCGACTGCGTCGTTTAGGATTTTTAGTGTGGTCGTTCTGCCAGGGTTGAAGCGGTTGGGGTCTAATGCTGCGTGTGGTTAGGGGTCCTAAGGAGTCTAAGGCAGCTGACAGCGAGTCGTTATACGCAGTAGTGGCCAGGTCAGGGCATGACAGTGGAAGGATACTGTCGTACAGACGGTCAGCTGCAGAGTGGAGAGGGGCCGGGTTCAGGTTGCGGAGGTTACGGCTGGTGATGGTTTGACGTTTGGGGGGGGAGGTGTTAGAGGATGGGTAAGACGGAGAACATAATGAGGTTGTGGTCAGAGAGAGGGAAAGGGGTGTTTTGAGGTTGTGGAGGGTGCAGAGGTGAGAGAAAACGAGGTCCAGGGTGTTCCTGTCGGTGTGGGTGGAGGACTGTGTGCACTGTGTGAGTGCAAAAGAAGAGCTTAAGTGGAGGAGTTGGGATGTAGCCGGGCTGTTGACGTTGATAGGGATATTGAAGTCACCAAGGATGATGGTGGGTAGTTCAGAGGAGAGGAAGAAGGGTAGCCAGGCGGAAAAGTCGTTTAGGAAGCGGGGTACGGGTCCAGGAGGCCGATAGATTACTGCAATCCTCAGAGGGGTGGGAGAGAGAAGAGCCGGATGCAGTGGGCCTCGAAGGAGGAGAAGGCCGACCCCACCACCTCTATGACCACTTGGTCTGGGTGAATGGGACCAGACGAGACCTCCATAGGAGAGTGCCGCAGGGGAGGTGGAGTCAGTGGCTTGGATCCAGGTTTCCGTGACCGCTAAGAGGTTGAGGGAGTGGGGGAGATAAAGAGTTTATGGATGGCGGTGAGCTTGTTGCATTGTTGCTTGTTGCGGGCATTCAGGAGTGCAACCGAGAGTGGAGGGGTGGATGCGGGGAGGAGGGGAACAGGTATAAGGTTGAGGGGGTTGTGGCGGTTTGAGGAAGTAGGAGGGTGCCTAGTGAGGTGGGGAGGGGCCAGGGTTCAGGGAGATGTCCCCGGCGGTTAGGAGAAGAAGAAGGGTGAGAAAGGTGGCATGGGAGTGGGAAGGGCGTGTGGGTCTATTAGTGGTGGCGTGTGGGTCGGTGGGAGAGTGGAGTATCAGGAGGAGGTGGTGAGAGCCGTAGTGGGGAGATGGAAGTAGTGAGGGTGCGATGTATAGTTGTTTTGGGGGAGTAGGGGGGTAGAGGGAGGAGATTTTGGGAATGGAGTACGAAGAGGAGGAGTGCATGTGGCATATTAGGAGGGTGAGCGGAGTGCTGGTCAATTGAGGGAAGTGAAAGGTTTCACATTGATGCGGAGAGTCTAACGCACAGTGGCAGAGGTTGAGTCGGGTCTCGTAGGCCAGGTTCATCTGTGGGAGGAGAGGGATAGTGGTGGGCAGCTGGTTCAACTGCTGGCTAGCCGTGGCGGTCTGTGGGTGCTGTAGGCCGGCGTCTGTAGGTGCTGTAAGGCAAGGCGTCTGGAGGTGCTGTAGGGCACGGCATCTGTAGGTGCTGTGGGCCGGTGTCTGTAGGTGCTGTAAGGCAAGGCGTCTGGAGGTGCTGTAGGGCACGGCGTCTGGAGGTGCTGTAGGGCAAGGCGTCTGTAGGTGCTGTAGGGCCTGGCGTCTGTAGTTGCTATAGGCTAGGCGTCGGTAGGTGTTGTAGGGCCCGGCGTCCATGGGTGTTGTGGGCCAGCGCCTGTGGGTGCTGTAGGGTCCGGCGTCTGTAGGTGTTGTAGGGCCCTGTGTCTGTGGGTGTTGTAGGCCGCGTGGCAGGCTCACCTCCACCGGATTGGATGGGGCTGTGCGGTGGCAACATTTGGGTGGCAGCGCTGCCGCCCGAATACTTCCACACAGTGCCATCCTCTCTGCCCCCCCGCCCTCCCATGTGAAGGTCCCCCTGCCCACTTTCTCCCAGGCTCCGCTTACCCATCTGTGGGCCCAGGACCAGCTCACCGCGAGTGACTAGAGGGGAGGGAGCAGACTACCCTCCCCTTCTTGTCCTGACCCGGAAGTGACATTATGATGTCGCTCCCGGGTCCCCATGGAGAGATTCCTGGCAATTGAGGCCCGGGAAAGATGTGCACTGCATTGCATTCAGGGAAGACATCCAGGGTCTTTTAGAACTTGGATGTTTCAATAAAGAGAACCTGTCACCAAAAAATCCTCACATAGGGAACATTGTCCCCTATGTGATGGGAAAAAAGAATTAAGTAAAAAAAGAAAGTCATTTTTTTAATTGTAAAAAAACTGAAGATACACCCCAAGCACATAACATTCCCCTGCCCCCCCTACATATAACCATGTACAAACATAAAAGCGCGTGCTGGGGCGCCTATGCATGAAAACATTGATTGCGATACTCATGTTACCTATTGCCCATACGCCAGAATGAGAGCAATAATTCTAGCAGCTGACCTCCTCCGTAACACTATACTGATGACCTAGAAGGGGCTTTAAAAGCGTCACCTATAGAAAATATAGGGTTCTGAAGTTCGTCGCCATTTCACGAGTGCGCACAAATTTAAGGTTTTATAAGTTGGATGTCTATTTACTCGCTGCAACCTCATCTTTTATATGTTACAAAAAATAGGTAATTTATTGCTTTTTTGTGCCCTGAAATTAACCAACTTATATTTTTTTACTGAAATTTTGCGGTAATATCATGCAACATAAATAATTTAAACTACCACTGTTTTATTCTCTAGGGTCTCTGATTTCAGAAAATATATCATGTTTGGGGGTTTTGTGTAATATTCAGGGCTAAAATGATTTTTTAATCTTGTGCAAAAAACGCAAAAAAAAAAAACGGCTCTGGCAGCGAAAGGGATAAAAGATAAGCCCGACAACTCCCCTTTCCTGACAAGTAGCCAATCAGTGCTCATTACACTGCAAGGTCTCTCTGCTTCCTGCTAGTCCCTGGGTGCGGTGCTGGAGAGAGGGAGGGGAGGAGGAGATAAACATTTAATATTTTTAACATTGCGTTGTTTGAGTCACCATAAAAGCCCTTTTGTTTTTAAAACATTCCTGATATCACCTCCGATTTAAATACGGTTTTGGTTACAAAAAAAAAAAATCTGGGCAAGTAGATTGGGACACCAGTTTAGTCCCTTGAAAAATTAGTTTTTTTTCAAAAATATCCACACCCCTGTTACGATTCCAGTGGAGGATGCGCCTGCCTTAAGACCCAACCAGTAAGCAGTTGTAAGCTCTTTCTAGTTCTTTTTGGTCCTGCCCTTCACCCTGTCTTGGTTGTGACCTTAATTTGTAAAACCATGTCTGACTGGGCAATATCGCTGAAAAGAGATCTCGCCACTGCTGTGGTTGATTGTTTGCTTATTGAACACATGGAGCAGATGGCTGTACTGTTACATGAGAAAGCGGTGAGACTTCTGGTTTCCAACAAATCATCAAAACTGAAATGTATGTCATGTCGGTGCTAAGCTGTAGGACCTTTCTGCAAGAAGCAATTGATCTGGGGGACAGTGTTATTTCGGATTGGCCCTTGATAATATCAAGGTTACTACTAGGAGTACCCATTTTCCTCAGTGGAAGAAACCAAAAGAAAAGACTGCAACGTCTTCTCTGTCTGACTGTTAAAAAAAAAAAAAAAAAAAAAAAAAATCTCTTTTGTTTCTCTATACCCTCAACTCCCCAGTGAGACCCTCTATGCTTGGCTCCCTATCTACCCTTAAGACCTGGTACTCAAAGTCTGCGAAATCCTCAAGCAACCTTCCTCTGAATGAAGGTGCTCCCTCACATTTCAAGGTAGGGGGACCTTGGTTAGTTTGTTGACCTTGGTAGATGCTTGAATAGCTTGCATCACAGACACTTGGGTGCAGGAGAAACCTTAGCTGCTCTCTTCCCCCTTCTCTGTTTCTCATAACCAACTTTCTTATTTCACTGCACAGACTATCACTACTCCATTAAACTTTCTTGGATGTTCTGAATCAAAGTTTCATTGCCCTAGTCCTTGTGGCAGAGCGGTTTTGGGGTTTTACTCAATTTTGTTCACTGTTCTCAAATCCAAAGGGGGCATTTGCCATATCTTGGCTCTGTCTTCATTCTGGTAAAAAAAAATTCCAAATCAAATCTACCAAATCTTTCATTGCCTCCCTTCACCTTTCTGGTCTCTGTGGACATCAAAAATGCTTACCCATTTTCTCATCTTTCCAGCACATCAGCAATTCCTATGGTTAGCTGTTGGACCCTTTTACTACCAGTTTGTGACACTATCCGTCAACCTCTCTCCAGCTTCTCGGGTATTTACCACAGGTCTGTCCCCAGTATTAGCTTTGCTGCACTGTCGTGTAAGATAGTTAGACAACCTCCTGTTGAGCAAATAGTCCTATTTCTGCCTGTCCTATATCAGCTTGATCCCGAGATGCACTGTATGCGTCTATTGATACAGTGTGGCTTAGCCCCACCCCCCATACCCTCTTCATTGGATTTGATTGACCGCATCAGGATCCAATGGATCCCACTACTTTTACTGAGCCTAATGAGGAGGGAGAGAGAGAGCAGCGTTGGATCACAATCAGGCTCATGTAAGTATTTGGGGGGGGGGGAAGCAGAAAATGCATTAAGATAGAAAAAAAAATAGCCTTTACAACCACTTTAAATATTCCATTAAAGGTGTTCTATTTATATCTTAAAAAAATGCGTTACTGACAGGATCACCAGGCAAAAATAAAGGTAAATAGCCTGATAAAAGAAAACGAATGCAGCTACCACATCTAGAGACTATTAAGCTGCTTTATTTAGCATTTTTCAGCTGGCTGAGATTTACTTTGTTTTTAATGTTGTAAAATGTATGACTTATATGTGGTTTCAATCATTTTTAAGGCTGCCGTTTACTTTTGTCACAAGAGAAGTTGCTGAAGCCACATGCGAATGCCTTCTTGCCCAGGCTGAGCAGGGAGAGAAGCTCTCAAAATCCCAAGCTGCCACAGAGAGGATGATCCTAGAAGAGTTTGGACGTTGCCTAATGAGGGTCATCAACTCTGCAGGAAAAGCAAAAAGTGACCCTTGTACGATGACTTGTTAAGTGTGGCTGACTGACTAGCATGAGTGATCAGAAATTGTGACTGCACAGAAGAGAGGTCTACAAGATAATGTACAAAGAATACACTGCCACACAATTCTGAAGTCTTCAATTACCATCCATATATGTGCCAGAATTCCTGTGTGTTTTGTATGTGGCAATTTTCAATGTGTTTTGCAACAAAGTGAGATTTTATGGTAAACCTATTATTTTAAATATTGCACCCATCTGTCACCCCTAAATTATTGACGACACCCAGTGGTGAATCCTTTTTAGTGTAATTCTCAAACTCCTATACCAACTCTCATTTTTCTAGTTTGAACAAGTGGGTTTTTTTTAGTTCAAATGTGTGTACCTGGAAGCAGTTTTTGGTCTGATAGAATGGAAATGTGGAGTGCATTGCTGTGATCTTTGTAATCAATGGATAATCTTTGTAATAAACATCAGGTCATAGAATACATTATGAAGACTGGTGGAAAGTGTCAGGAATGTTTATGTCTGATTAGGTAGAGAATAGCATGGATGTAGATAACTGTACCAGGCACTGTTTTCATTTGAAGTGTACTAAAGTGGAACTGTATAGAGAAGTGGATATAACTATGACTCACCCTTATCTAGTGTTAGCTAAATCTAGTGCCAGGAGCAATATAATACTATCTTGCAGAATATATTGTTTTTGAAATATATGCATTGTGCCTTCTGTGCTCTTAATAATACATAATGCTTGTTATATTTTCATATTTATATTGGGATTATGTAAGCTATAATATGGGAGCATGATTTTAGGCTGGTGGTTTTTATGGAGTTAGTTTCATAGTTTTACATGACTTAAAGTTGTCGTCCCCAATTATTCTTCTGTATCGTTTGAGTAGAAATGTATCCAAAATCCATTAACATCAACCTAAGAATAATATTTCATTTCCATGATGTTAAAATATCTTAGATATCGTTTAAAGCTGAGTTCCAGTTATGTTGAAAATAAAAAGTCAACAGCTACAAAAACTGTAGCTGCTGACTTTTAAAAAAACAGCCACTCACCTGTCCCTTGGTCCCGCAGTGTCCTCCCCTCCAGCATCTTCAATGTGGGCACCCAGCTGTGACAGCTTGCGGCTTCACACAGCTGGGTGCCCACTGTAAATGCGTGAATAGCGCTGCGCATTCTGAGTGGTCCCAAAGTCTTCTGGGTCCTGTCACATGTCCCAGAAGACTACGGGCAAGGAAGGAGGGAGGACAACTTCCGCTTCTGAACACCTAGGTGATCGCAGTGGGAGTGGGTACCTGTCAATTTCGAGTACCCGCTTCCCAAAGGTGCCAGTCCTTAATGGGGAGTGGGGGACCAGTCTTTAAAACGGAACTTCCCCTTTTGGGTGGAGCTCCGCTTTAAGGTTGAATTGACATATTTTCACTATTTTTGATACCCCAAGTATAAGCTTTAAAAAGGAGCTAGGTGAAGACATATTGGGGTTGATTTAGTAAAACTAGTGCAGCTGTGCATGGTAGTCAATCCGCATCTAACTTTGGCTTGTTCAATTAAACTTTGTCAAAAAAAAAAAAAACCTGGAAGCTGCTTGGTTTCTGTGCAGAGCTGCACCAGATTTTGCACTCTCCAGTTTTACTAAATCAATCCCTGTTGTATTTAAACCCCAATGGTTTACCCAGGTGGTAAGATTGATTGTTTCAGTCCTAAAGGTAAGATACAGATTTTCCGTTGGGGCATTTCATACAGAAGCATTCATCCTGTGGTGATTTGGGTTTGGTTAACATCCTAAGAAAACTCACAAAATATATACAATGCACAGTAAGTTTGGTTTGTTGTCACCACTGCATAATGTTACTAATAGATATCACATAAACATTTACCCATTTCAACAGTTCTTGGACAACCATCGAAATCTGAAAGGACCCTTACCCACCACAGAATGCATTTCCACAACTGCCGCTATTACAAAAAAAAGCTGTATGGTTATAAATGTACAGATCAGTAACTTGTCTTCTCCTGTTCTATGCAGAGATACTAGCCAGTTGGGTAGACCACTGACACCTGCATGCTTGTTTCCTTTATATGACTATTGAGGGTGGGGGTAATTCCGTTTTTGAGATTGGATCCTTTCTTAACATCCAAATTTTATCTCCTCCCCCATAAAGCTAGCTTATTTTTGTTTTTCTCTCTGAATGTAATTTTTAATACTGTGATTATCACTAATACAGGCTGTATTAATGGTATCCATTTACCTCAGCATCACAGTTCTATTATGTCTACACTGTTTTGGAGGGATTATCATGTTAACTTGCAATAGTTTGAGATGGTCTGCACTGGGGCAGGATATCTTGGTAAAGCAGCCATCTGTTAGATATGATTTTATGTTTTAACTCCTTTGACTCTAAATTTAACGGATCCTTTTCTTCAGATTGTTTTGAAATAACAACAGAGGTTTTCTTACTTACTGAATCTCATCCATTTATTTCAATAAAGCTATAGCACTGTCATGCTTTTCTATTTGAGTTAATATACTTAGTTGTAAAGGTAATGTAAGCCTTTGTTATGTTTCTTAAAAGTGGTGGCCTGTTCAAGAAACTACATGTAGAATTCTTTAAGTGTACTCCATCTTTTTTGTTGGTTTGGATAGAGTAGAAAGGAAGGTTTGAACCCCTCTATAGGTTATTATTGCTATCTGGTTCCCTGTAGAGGCGGTGTCCTAGTGACAATTGTTGGTAGGATTATCTTTCTAGTGGAGACACAGTCAACAGTAGAAATTTGACACAGATCCTACCTTTTAACCATTGCTGTAAGTGCCCCTTTTAGTTCTTTCTTGGTAGCCACTGTCTTTTGTTCAGAATGTGAGGTAGGTTTTACCACAAAGTGAACACAGAGCAGTAAACAGAGGCCCTATCCCCACCCAACTTTTTTCATACTAAAATAAAAAGGTTTGGGTTCGGTTCTATTTAAAGTTGAATTTATATTATTGTATCTGGTTAAAAAGTAATTAAATTCCACTTTACTTACCTCCACTCCAGAGATGTGATGTCCACAAGCTCCCTCGTCACTGCCGAAATTCTTGCCTGACCTTCTGTTTCTCTATCTTCAGCCATCTTTATTGAATGGCCTGGGATGACATAACTCCCACGCATGCGCACTGTGATTGTACACTGTGAGCTGCACATGTAAGGCTCAGTATGCAATATTGCAGGCAGGTTAAAGGATTTTAATGCAGGAGACATGTACAACAACTATTCTGCAAAAAAGGCTTTGCTGGTAGCATTTTTTAAGGTAAAGTTCCCTTCTTCACTAAAGGTTGTGTGTACGTTCATTGTATGACAATTCAGAAAATGAAACATAGAAAAACAGGGTAAACAGAAAACATGCAATAAAGCCCAACTACACCTTCAGTTCAAATTGGCTAAATACTTTCCAAGTGCATCAAAACAAAAGGTGTTCAATCTGTTACAGTTCATTTTCTTTCTAAAGCAGCCACAGTCTGAGTAGAAAAACCTGTCCTCTGCTAGAAGCTGCAGAGTGGGATGCTGCCCTCTGTGGGAAGCATTGATCTCATTGCAGAGGTCCAAAACACCCATCATTGAGTCATACCTTTTAGCTCTGCAATCAGCAAAGCTTAAGTCCCCCTGTGATTGTTAAGCTCAAGTTTTAGTACACGAGTCTAAATGACACCTTACACTCACTCTGACTTAATACTCTGAATTAAGAATTTTTGACACATTTTAAATGTTAGCAGCTTGCATCCTACTTATCTATCCTATAGATTGTGATGTCCTAATGCTAAACCTGTATTCATTGTATTACAATGTGAAGTATGACTGCAGGTATTTGCTTAATCTTGTCCCCAGCATCTTTAGCTGTATCTCAACTGACTTACACAGTTTTACATTTCAAATTGATATTATGTAACAGTAATTTTTGTATACAGTAGAAACATAGAGGCTTTATTTTGTTTTGTTCTGGTTTTTTTTTCTTCATAAAAGTGAGCACTTAGCATACTTCTGCCAAAAAGGGGATTTTTTTTGTTCACAAAAGTCATCATCTCTGTCCTTCTGCTTCTGATCTCAAAATTAACTTTATAAGAGTAAAAAGGGAACTGACTAGTGGAAGTAAATGATCTCTCTGTCTGTGAGATAACTAAGTGTGCATAGCATTAACTCTGTGACTGTCCACATTCGGTCAAGTAACTATGTATAAATGTAAATTAGTTTGTGTAGATTGCAAAAGATTTCACTATTTGTGTATTTGTTTTGTAGAGCAAAAGCTAATAGTGTTGTAAATAGTGTAGTGCTTAAACCCAGTATGGCACCTTTTTTGTGATGTGTATTTATACGTGCAAGAAAATGTGAATTTTAAATGACACTTGTAGATTATGTATAAAGAGTCTTTGACTTATAAATTGAAGGTGCAAACAATACTTCCCATAGGTTTTAAACAATAGTTCTAATGTTAGCTTTACTATGCCAGTGTTACATGTGGAACTAAATGCAGCTGACTGAAGATTTTGGCAATGGGCTGCAGTAAGAACAGACCAGTAAACTTGTTGTTATAACTCCGATAACTATATTACAGAACAAGACAATGTATGGGGCTGCTAGTAAGTCTTTACAAGAGTTAGCTGTATGTGGCCAAATCTGTCAAATGTGGATGTTAGACACCCAGAGAACTTTTGTAAGGATGTACAGTGATTTGGTGTTATGCTCTTCATACACAAGATAATGACCAATGTAGGTCTAATTGTGACCTATTTTGGACAGTGATTGGCTAGCATATGGTTCAGTTTACTCTTAGATGCTTTAAGAGGATCTGAAGCTCTGCTTCTCTTCTAGTTCCAAGAATAAAATATTTTTTAATCAGTAAATGGTTAGTAAAACTAGAACTCTAAACCAAAACTTTATTTTTATTTGCATTCTTGATAGAGCGTGGAAGGGTGTAAACAACACTTAGGCTCGGTTCACACTGCTGCAACATAGGATCTGACTTGTGAAACCCCAGGTCAGATGATATG